CCCAGGGGCTGGCTTCTGGCCACTCATGGTAGGTGAAGGTGGTCTTACCCACTCTACCCAGTCCTTGCTGTGGCCAGCAGCCTCAGAGCAATTTCAGTTTTTAAAAATGCATTACCTTGGAAAGAAGAAGCATGAGGATCTGGGTCTCAGGTCCCTGCTTGTCACCCATCTACTCATTCCATGTCACCTCCCTGAGTGGGGCTTTGAGACACTTCCCACAACCCCGCCAGCTGCTGCTTGATCCCGAAGTCCCAGGGGGTGGCCAAGCACAGGTGGGCACAATTAGATCACACTCTCTCTCTCCCTTCTTCCTTTCCTTCTTTCCTTCCTTCCTTTTTTAAAAAGACTTTTTGTTTGATTGGTTTTTGTTTTTTTGAGACAGGGTCTTTCTATGTAGCCTTGCTGGCCACCAGGAAACTTTTCCCATCATCCTTAAGCAGAGAGTTCCCACGTTCTGCTGGCCACCTGTGGCTCCCATTTGGGGAAAAGGCCCAGGAGTCCACTGACCCAAGATGTCAAAAACAATTGTTGTGAGAGGCTTGGGAAGAACCATTCATGATGGTTTATTCCTCATCTGAGGTCAGCAATCTCTCAGGCTAAGGCAGAGTGTTTACAGGAGTAATTGATGGAATAATCACTAATTCAGGAGACAAAGGGAACACATTTTTCACATCATAACCTCCGGAAGACAAGACTCACTTTTCTCCTTCATCCAGTCACCAAACTAGCCAGCTCATCATGGTGAGACCAACAGTTCGGTAAGGAATCCAGAGAGGCCACAGTCATTTTTCAGTGCACTAGCTGCTCCATAAATGGCCCGGAGCCCCTCCTTCCTGGCACCCCGCTGCTCCTTCCTGGCAACGCAGCACCTCAGGCGTGCGAATCACTCACTGGACGAAGCAGCGGGCCAAACCGTGAGCTTTGTCTGCACTGGGGACATTAATAATTGACGGTGCTGGGCTGTGGGGGGCTGCATGCTGCAGTGGACTTCAGAGGCTCCTCCGTCTTCCCTAGGAACCAAACCAAGCCTAGCCTGAGCACCTGGCAATTCATACCCCGCATCCCCACCTGGTATGGGTGACTACTTCAAGGTCTTCACATCTCCAGATGCTAAGAATCAGCGGGGAGCTCATTAAAATTCAGATTCCAGGAGGGCTGGAAATGTAGCTCAGTGGGAGGGTGCTTGCCCAGCATGTATGTGCAGGGTCCCCAGGCTTGATCCCCAGCATGATTTTTTAAAAAGGGGGTGGGGGTCAGGGGTTGTGAAATTGCTCAGCCAAGGCTGCCACCCTGAGTTCCATGTCCAGGACTTACATAGGGGAAGGAAAGAACCAAGTCCTGCATGTTGTCCTCTGACCGCCATATAAGAACACCCAACAAAAGAAATTAATTAAATAAAAGAAGGAAGGAAGGAAGGAAGGAAGGAAGGAAGGAAGGAAAGCAGACATGACCAGTGCTCTGGGGGCATCTACATCTCACAAACGCCCTGGGGGACTCTGAGACTAAGGACCACAAATACCCTCACAGCGCTCCTGCCTTTCTGGCCCCACCCAAACAAAACATCAGAAAATATGGATTATGGACAGCTACAGAGTCCGTTCAGCAGCCTGTTTCCAACAGGCCCATGGCCTCAGCAAGATCCTGCCACCTTCCTGGTCCTTCCTGGTGAAACTCACAGTTTTACCAGTTCCCTGAGGAGCCAGGGAGTCCACACTAGGATTAGGGCTATGTGGACAAAGAAGTTCATCACAGGACTGGGCCCAGTTTGCCCCAAGGCTGATTTAGAGAAAACAGGTCCTGAGCCACCAGCACAATTTCATTTCGAATCTGGCCCCCCAGTTTGGTACAGACTCAGTGACCTTGGGCCAGTCATTGGCCCTCCCTGAACTCAGTTTCCTCATGTGTCTAACACCAGTCTCACATGAATGATGCCAGCCTGCATGAGTGCACAGTGAGAAAGGGCCTGGGTACCTGGAACACAGAGTCAATATTCCATTCACGACAGTTCCCTTTCCTTCCACCCCTGCTGGGGCATCGCAGTGAGCTAGCCCTTTCAAAACAGTTTCTGGAGCATGTACTAAGTGGGACTGAGCCTTATCACTCAGATGCCTTCCAAGAGCCATGCACTATTCATTCCTTGAAACTTTGCAAAGCTCCCTTTGAAGGGGATTGAGTGGAGGTCAGAGGGAGCAGGGGAGTAAACAGCTGCCTTTGCTGACCCACCTGGCCACAGGCATTCCCTGGGACAACCCCAGGGGCAGACATGTGCAAGGCAGTAGTCCTGGTGGCTGGGCAGGACTCGGAGCTGCAGCCAAGAGCAGCCACCAAACGAAGTAGTTGGGGTCCATGAACTCCCCAGGAAGCCCTGCTTCCAGCTCCCTTCACTCCAAACCCAGAGACACCTTCCTGACCCAGCCACATTTCCTGAATCAGCTGAGGACACACGGAGCCCAGGAATAATGAAACGATCAGGCTTCAATCTGCTAAACAGCAATTCCAGAGCTTTTTCAGCACACACAGCTTTTATCAAATTGGTATTCTCCTCCTGAACACAAATGGCTTATTAGACATGACCCACTTATTCGCCGTGTCTCACTATCATTAATAACAGTTTCTTTTTGTGATTAAGTGAATGGCTCCAGACCCTTCCTGTGGTGCTGGGTGCCAGGCCTGGCAGAGGGGAAGCGGGGGGGGGGTGTCTTGGCAGCCCCTACTTGGTGACTTTGAACCTGACAATGTTGGGAAGGCAACCTAATGTCCTCATTTCTTGAGGGACAGGACAGGAGGTCCCAAGGGGTGACCCATTTGCCCAGAGACACATAGGTCAGGAGGGAGTCAGATCCCCAGCAACTGCTCCTTTTCATCTAGCTCCTCCCCTGGGCCTTCATGGACCTGTCCAGGGTGGGAGATTACACCTCTGTGGGGGGCTGTAACCCCTAAGCATACCTGGCACCAGGGGGCAGGAGGCGACTGTCACACAAAGGGAAGTGCCTATTTCCTCAAGAATGACCCAAATCTTGGGGGCCCCTGATGCCTCAAAGAGGATCATAAACCTCAGGGCTCCATACTTGTACCTCAAGGGACTTCAAACTCAGAAAAGGAAAGTCTTTCCCTGGAGGAGCCTCCTAATATAAGTGCCAACAGTGACCAAGGAACTGAGCTAGGCAAGTTGGTGGGAGGGGAGAGAATGGGAGGAATTCCCAGTTTCCCCGTAACGGGAAAGCATGTGACAGGGAAATGAATGTTCTGGACAAAGCGCTGTCTTCGCCTGACAGACCCTGGAGCCCGTCTTGGCTCAGCCACTTTCTCACTGTGTGACCTTGGGCAACTCCCTTCACCTCTCTGAGCCTTGTTTCCCCATCTGTAAGTTGAGCATTGAAATGGCCCTTTCCCTATTTACTGTGGCTCTGGCCAGGTCAGCAGAAATGCATGAGGCATACAGAGGTACAAAAATGACACACAGAGAGGTCACTGTCATACATGATGAGACACAGGTGCAGGGATCTAGGCTTCCCTAAAAGCAGGGATCCTGAGCATGGCTTTGAACATGCACCCCCACAAAGGCCTTCCTTGGGTATCTGGCCCCTGCACACCCCTCATTCATTTCCATCAGGATAAATCATTCTGTTCTCTGTCTTTTGAAGGTACAAAAATGACACACAGAGAGGTCACTGTCATACATGATGAGATACAGGTGCAGGGATCTAAGCTTCCCTAAAAGCAGGGATCCTGAGCATGGCTTTGAACATGCACCCCCACAAAGGCCTTCCTTGGGTATCTGGCCCCTGCACACCCCTCATTCATTTCCATCAGGATAAATCATTCTGTTCTCTGTCTTTTGTGCAAACCCCCCTCAGTCTGGGCACACAGTGCACAGTGTGGGCGCTGAAGCCTGTTTGAGGATGGGATGGGTGGGAACAGAGTCTCCTCTGCTTTCATCCACTCTTGACCCCGTAACAGCCTGACTCACAGAGGCAGGGAGCCTCCACAGCTGCCTGCCTCAGCCACCCAACTCTATTGCCAACTTGGGCTCCTTTGGGGCAACAAGCTTCTAACACTTGGGCAGACAGTTCTGGGGACACTTGCTACAAACTCCCACACCAGCTGGAGTTGAGGGTTCCATGTTTCAGTCCTCTGGGGCCAAGCATGAGATGGGGGTACCCTATAGAAGGACGCAGGGATTTCCTGCTCACCCCCATAGACATACAAAACACCCCGAATTTCTCTCCACTCTGCCTCAGGCTGGAAGGAGCAATCTCAACTACTCTAGTGTCTCCCCAGACCCCCCTGAGTTGCCCTCATCCCTGGGATACCACCCACATGGCAAGGGAGACTGCCACCCGGGCTAGCAGATCTCAAGAGACAGGGTCTCCCATCCCCCAGAGCTATTCCCAGTAGCAGAAGGGATGGATAGAGACAAGGGGACAAGAGCAGCTTCAGTGTTAAACCCACAAAGGAGAGAGGCAGTGGGGCAGAGAGGAGTGGGTGGGCAGTGTGTGCATGCATGTGTGTCCCTGTCTGCAGGCAGAGAAGCAAGAGTTGTGGTGAAGCGAAGCATGTGTGCCCGGGTGCTAGCTGGCAGGGGGAGCCCACCAGCCAGTGTCTGATGCGTGTGCTTGGTGGGCATAAGTGTATTTACCAGCGAGGAGGGGGCTCAGAGGAGGTGTGTGGAGTTGTGAGTGTGGAGTGCAGAGCGCAAGGCTGAGTGTGTCCGCGGCTGTATGGTTGTCTCATCTGTGTGGTCGCGCGGGGGTGTGTGTATCCGCGTGTGCTCGCGTGGTGGGGGTTCTCCGAAAGCTGGGGGTGGGTGGGGGGTGCGCTTGGGGCTCCTCCTCTGCAGGGCTGACCAAGGGACCAGGGCGGGTCTCCATCCCCAGCAGGGGGCGCCCTGGGACTCCCTCCACGGCCCGCAGGTTCGAGCCCCGCGATGGCCAAGTTGGAGCGGCGCGGCCGGGGTGGGGTTCGGTGGGGAAGTCCGTGAGGGCGGCGCGCGAACTCACCGTGGCCGGAGACGTGGTTGTCCCAGGGCGCGTGGCCGGCGGACCGCGTGGCGCCACCGAGTTGCAGGAAAAGTGCCAGATAGTGGAGGGCGCCCAGCGCCGCGGCCAGCGGGGCCCCCATGCTGCGCGCTCTGGCCGGGGGGCGCCGCCGCCTCACATGGGGGCTCCGCAGCCCGCGCCCGCCGTCCCCTGCCCGCCGGCCCCTCGCCCCGCTCCCGCCGCTGCCTGTCGCCCGCCCGCCCTCGGTTCACAGCCCTCGCGCGGCTCGGCCCAGCCCCGGCTGCAGGCAGCTAGCGCACGCCCAGCCGGCCGCCTCCGACTGCGGGACTCTTCCCTTCCGCGGAAGGCCACTTCGTGCCGCCGCACGCGCCCTCCCCCTCGCTCCCGCCCCGAGCCGCGGCGGAGGGATCCGCCGCTTGATTTATCATCAAAGTTTTGCCCAGGCTGGGATTTTTAAAGCGGTACTCGCAACTTTCCTCCGGCTCCAGAGCGGGGGCGGAGACGGGCTGGGGAGCAGGAGGCCACCCCAGGGGCCTGGCTCCCGCGGAGCGGGACACAGGGGATTCGGAAACAGAAATCCGGTCTTGCAGTAATAAGGGGGAGAGGGGCAGAATCCACCTGCCGCCAGACCCAGTGCGCTCAGAGGGAATCCTCAACTTTGCTAGCTGGGCGGTGAGGGTCAGGGACCAGGAGAGGTGCAGGGCAAGTAGGGTCGGTAGGAACCTGGGCCGAGACACAGGTGAGCTGTTTAAAGCTCTGGCAGCCTTTGGCTCCCCGCGTGATCACGCGTGGTCTCACACTGTGCGCACCTCAAGGTCTTCATCTGAGACATGGGGACACTCGTCACCTCCAGATGTGATGATGTGTAAAGCGGTGAGCAGCGCGCGGCTCACACATCCCCTCTCTGGTTACTATTGTGGCTGCACTCTCTGAGACTCAGTTTTCCGCGTCTCCACAGTGGGAGAATGAGGCTGGCCAGTCGGGGGGGTGGGGGTTCGTTGTAGCTTAGAGGTGTTGGGCCTACGAGGTGACTTGGATCGCCCCCTTCTGGACTGTCACGCTCTCTCTGGACCGATGAGTCTAGACGGAGCCAGTGTGTGTGTGTGTGTGTGTGTGTGTGTGTGTGTGTGTGTGTGTGTGTGTGTGTGTGTGTGTGTGTGTATAAACGCATACACGCGTGTGTGTAGGGAGGCATAAAGCCACATTTATTCCCAAGACTGGCAATCCTACTGGGGCTGGTGGAGCAGTTAAGGAGGATTTGGGCCCGTTTAAAAAGGGAATACTTTCTTAAATCACAGAAGTAGCTTCTCTGAGGTTCTGCGCAGAACTGGCACAAGGCCTCTGACTCCCGGGAAGGCTCCCCTCCTGCTCTCGTTCTGCCTCAACCTCCGTTTCTGTATCACGGACAGCACATCCCACCTCCCACCATCTTTTCTGCACCATGGACGGCAGCACAGCAGGCCCGGCCCTTTGACGGTAGAATTCAGCACCACGGACAGACGCACCACTCCCCCTCAGCACTACGCACAGTGCCCGAAGTTTGAGAGAGCTTAGAGGCGGAGAGACACACCTCCCCCGCTGTCTTTACTCTGTCTTCACATCCCTCTTTCAGATATTATGGTGGAAAGCATACTGTTTCCTCAAGACTAAGGATCGTGGGTACCTCCCCCGTGCCAGGCGCCGCACATGTGAGTTATTTCAGAACCACGGACAGCACCCGGCAGCGGGGTTTCGTTCAGCGCCTTGGACAACCCCCCACGCGGAGGCGGGGCCGCTCGGCTTGGTCCTTTCAGCGCCATGGACCTAGACTACATTCATAGGACGAAGGGTCCACTTTTGCCCGGTTAGCGCTTCTTAATTTTTTTCCTACACAAAAGTGTCTAAGTTGTTCTGGGATGGTAAGGGGCTCTGGACTCTACAAGAGTTCATTCATTAATGAACCTCTATAAAATGGGTGCAGTCATTCTTATAATTTGAGAATCTTCCAGATTACCTAGCAGTGCTGAGGCTGACATCCAGGACTCTCAGCTCCAAGCACCGTGGAACCATAACTGAGGCTCAAACGTTGGACTTTCTCCTCTTAAATCCAGATGGGAAGGAGGGAACCAGGAAAGGGGACAAAAAGAGAGATCAAAAGAGAGGGGGTGAACTGGTCACTGCTGCAGAAGGAGGCCAGGTGAAGGCCGTACACTGCTGTTCTGCCACTGCCCCGATGACATGACATTAAACTGCATAACTTCTCAGGGTCTTTCAAGGACAGCCTCTAGGGACTATTTTTATTTATTTGGTTGGTTTGCTCATTGGTTTGCTTTTTGAGACAGTGTTTCACGTAACCCAGACTGTCCTTGAACTCACAGTCCTGAGATTCCAGGCAGCATGCACCACCATGCCCAGCTTCTAGGAATTATTTGACTTTGGAAAGGCTCATGATGTAATGACTGTGCAGAACCCTCTCATGGCCATGCTTATTTGAGAATCTTGACTTCTCTGGCTGGCATTCATCTTCCTGTGCTCAGCCACTGCTCCCTTCTTGAGCATACTTTCTCTTCCCATTGCATCCCTATGTGCACACACTTCCCCTTCTATCTAGCTGAGTCTTTCACGGGTCAAGGTACAGTCTGAGTCCCTAGGAAATACCTGCTGTCTTCTTCTAGTTCCCAGTCTCTGTTGTACCATGATAGACCTGCCCATGTGCCCAAAACTCTAATTATCTCACTTACTCCAGACAACAATCCACATAGGCAGAATAGTGTGGTTATGAGTGGACTCTCATCAGGCATGGTGGTGCCACCTTTAATCCCAGCACTCAGGAGGCAGAGGCAGGCAGATCTCTGTGAGTTCAAGGCCACCCCAGTCTACATAGGGAGTTCCAGGTCAGCAGAGGCTAGAGGGAGACCCTGTCTCAAAAAGACCGAAAAAAAGAGTGGACTCTCTAGGGGCTGGGAAGATGGCTCAGTAGGTAAAGCACTTGCTACTCCAGCATGAAGAGATGAGTTCACATCCCCTAAACTCATGTTAAGCCAGGTGTGGTAGCACACATCTGCAATCTCAGCACTCCTACAGCTGGATAGGAGTTGGGTACAGGATAATCCCTGGAAGCTGTCGGACCACTCTGATGTACACAGTGGTGAACATCATGAAACAAGGTAGAAGGTGAAGACTGACACCTGAGATTGTCCTCTAACTTCCACACATGAGCTATGCTATGCACATGTATGCATGTGCATGCACACACTATGAGATTAAAAGAAATGGTGAGCCCTAGAGTTATACCTGAGTTTCAAATGCTGTCACTGGCAAGCTCTGCTAACATAGGCAAGTCACTTAGCTTTTCTGCCTCAATTACCTCCTCCGTGATAATATAACTCCTTCTTAAGATTGTTGAAAGGATTAAATCAGCTGCCACATGGAAAGTACTTGGAACAGTGCCTGCACATAGAAATGCATGATGCATATTGACTACTGTTATCATCTACAGATCAGGAAACTGAGAGGTTAAATGTCTTGCCCAAAACAAAGTAGTGTTAGAACTGTGATGGCTTTGGCTCCAAGCCCATGTTCTCAGGCATATCTGAGCTGCTTTAGTTCAACCCACCCTCACTGAAGCTTAGAAACATAAGAACCAGAGAGGGTGACTTTCTCAGAGTCACACATATGCCAGAACGAGGTCCAGGCCCTCAGCTTCCCATCTCAGGGCTCTCCCACTCTGTCGTATCCTCCTATTTACATTCCCTGCAGCAAGCACCTACTTAAGCTGAACTTTACAGTTTACAAATCATACACACATCCATGACTCCTGAGGCCTTCTTTCTTTTGCAGTTGAGGAGACTGATGCTCAGCGTGATGAAGTCACCTTTGCAAAGGTACTCTGTGAGGTTGGCAGAGCCAGATGTGAGGGACAAATCCCCAGGCCCTCTCTTTCCCTGTATAACTGCATCTTGTCTGCTGCATGGATCCAAAAGCAAACTGCAGACCCTGCAGTGACTGAGTGGGCAGAGGGTAGCCACACCGTCCCAGGACAATCTCTGGGAGTCTACCAAGGTGGGGCATTCTAATCATTCAGTGGACTTTAGAAAGTTCAGGAGAGAGTAAGCTTCCTGTCCCCAAGAGGCAACTAAGCAAGCACCCAACAGTCACATGGATGGCATGAGGCAAACAAGCATCACTGACATTTCCCTTACATAAATGAGGCTTGGAAAGTGAGCAGTTCTTCTGCTGGAGAAGGGGCCCATCTCAAAGTTGCCCCAAGCAGGGGAACTTACACGCTTACTGCCAAGTCAGCAGCACTCTCTAGAGAGTCCCCACCCTCCCCTTGAGTCTGGGAGGCCGCCCTTCCTCCCCTCCTTGAAAGGTGTCACTTGAGCACTGTGGCTCTGTCAGTGGTAACAGCCGTAAGATTTGTCCTTTTAATCCAGAATCAATAACAAATTTCATTTAAAAATAAATTAAACCAGGCATTGGAAATCATTCACCGTGCGGGCCGGGGCCCTATAGAGCACCATCTAAATGGCTTCCTCTTGCTCATCTATCAATGTCATGAAGGGGGAAATACCTGAGCTGCCTGATTCATGGGGAAACAACTTAAATGTATCAGGCCCTAACAATGAGCAATGTAAGCCAGAGCCGTGCCTTGCACACACCAATAACATGGGAGCAAGGCTTCATGGGAGCTTATCGAGACCACACGGTCACTAGCTTTGAGGAAGACCATTTGTAAGGGGGAACAATGGCTTTCGGATGCAGCTGCCTAATTTCCAGAATGCATTACTGAGCTCTGAGGAGCAATGGAATTCTATTAAGGCCTTATCTGCCACAGGAGGGTATGAAACCAGTAGGGAAATCCAGACGTGGCACCGACATGCCCCCAAAGCACCAGGACTGACCTGGGAGGTGGGTGAAACAGCCCAGAGGGAAGGGGGGCCAGTGGGGACCCAGGATATGTGGAAATATGTGCATTAATAGAGCTCCGGTTGCCAGCGATTACGTTTACATCAGCGAATAAAACTTGGCAATAAAACATCAGAGCTGCGTCTCCGACAGCGTCTCCTTTTACAACCCGGTGTATTTCATTCATTCTAACAGGAGGCATGGAGCTTGAAGTGTCCCTGTTTCTCCCCCTTTAATTAGATTTCCTAAATTGCTGCCTAAGATTTGGATAAAGTGAAAGACTTACAGCTCCACTAATGGCCATCGAGGCTCCTGGCCCATCGCTGGAGTAGCCCTGACTGTACCAGTTTCCATCATTATTAAAGTGAAATATGGTAGGCCTTGCCTGCCTAAGCTCTGGTTTGTAAAAGGAAATACAGTTTCTTGTGAGAAGTTGGCCTCACCCAGGTTCCAGGCCTG